CCTGAGTGATGGGTCGCGCTCAAGTGCTGACGCTTCCGGAGCCACATCGCTGCAGGGAACAATTTTGTCCACGATTTTGGCCGTGTAATATGCTTTGGAGATACTTCCCCCTACTTTCCCCTAATCAGTAAAGCTAAAGTTCTGAGCAAGTCAGCCGTCAGTATGTAATCTGACATGAAAAAGAGGTAGCTATGGCAGGAGGGTAGGATTCGGGCTGGAATTAGGGAAGAGCTCTGTCGCAGAATTAGCCTGGATTTTATTCCTGACAAAAGAATTGGTCTGCCGAGGTCTGGAATTGTTCTGGCGGACCCGCCGGAGGTATTCGAATTGCGCTGTGGAGCCTCGGAATTGGGCTGTGCTGCGCCTGAATTGGCCTGTCCGGGTGTCGAATTGGCCTGTCCGGGTGCCGAATTGGCCTAACAGGGTATTGAATTAGCCTGACAGGGTATCGAATTGACCTGTTCGGGGTGTCAAATTGGCCTGACAGGGTATCGAATTAGCCTGACAGGGTGTCGAATTGGCTGTCAAGTTGGCAGGATTGGCTCGGGCTGGCATCCAAAAGCACATGACTTTTAAGGAATTTACAGAAAAACTTTGCAAGAGGACCGCTTACAAGTGCCTCATGTGTGTATTAGATTCGATCCCACGACATGGGTGGATGCTGTGCGTCGTCAATTCGAAGAAGTTCTAGGCGTCTACTCCGTTGGTGAAGCATGGGAACTGTTCCGAGGTGAGAGATTTAGATTGTTGATCAGAGAGAAAAGCGCGAGTCCGTGCTAGAGACGTGGGGCGGCGATGTCCCCGTGCCGTGCCGAGAACAACCGGAAACTTTGCGAACGGTGTTTTGAAAGACAATGTGCCCTTCATTGCAGAGGATTTCCAGCTCTCCCCGCTTCGCGCCGCCATGGCACTGAGAGGGAATGTACCGGGCCTTACCGTCTCGGACGCGAAATCCCTCTTGTTCAAGATCAAAACGGCATCGGAGGGGGCCGTGGAGGATCAGGGACACAGGGACGCGGAGACTGGCACCGTCGAGGACGCGGCGGAACTGTGGTCCCGATGAGTGCACCAGCCGGCATCACCGAAGCAGAGGATGTGCCACCCCGCGTCAAGTCGCGTGGTGCTACTGGTAAGTGGCGACGTGAGATGTGTGGTAGGGAAGAGTGGGCAACCTAGAAAGGAGGAACCCACCTCACCCCACCCACCCAATTGCATAATGTTATACATACCGACGTCTATGAAACATCATACCATATGACAACAGATATGCCCCCCTTTTTTTACAACCCTGTATAGG